TATATATATATATATATATATATGAGGCCTCTCGAGACACAGGGTTCAACAGTAGTGTTCAACAGCAGTGTGGAGAGACTGACAGAGAGAAGCAGAGGCACAGAGACAGGCCAGGTTCTCTGTGTTTCCTGTTGTTGCAATAAAACTCAGCTGATCATCTCACAGAGTACCTTCATTCTTGGACCACGTATTTCTGTCTTTGTTAAATAAATATTTGCCATGACAGTAACTAATAAAAATTAAACAATTTCATATTCTTTAACGTTTTTTCTTTTGTTTTCTTAAAGAAATTCATTGATCCAATACTTTTACTGTCATCCTCCAAATCATTCCATAGTCTTATACCTTTACAGAAGTGCATCTGTCCTTCAAATTTGTTCTGATTTTCGGTTTAACAAACATTTATAATCTCTTCAAATTATAGCGGCTTTCCCTCTTAACAAAATGTGACTGGATGATTGACGGCAACATATTTCTATGAGCCTTATACATAACCTGCAGAATGTTATAATCAATTAACTCATGAAATTAACAACTTTAATTGATGAAACAATACATTAGAAGGGTGATAGTGATGCTTTCTTGTGATAATTCTTATGGCTGTTTTTTGTAAAATAAAAATAGGATTAGTGATAGTTTTACATGCATTTCCCCAGACTTCTGTACATTAAATCAAATGTGGAACAATTATTGCATTATATAGTGTAAATAGTGCTTTATCATTAAGTAACTCCTTCACTTTATACAGTACTGCAATAGATTTTGCCACTTTTGTTAAGTAATTTATATGAGGCCTCCATGTCAGTTTTTCGTCAATGATGACTCAAAAACTTCACCTCATTCACTCTAATGATCTCAACACCTTCCACTCTAAAGGAACATCAAATTTTTCTATTACTAAATATGTAATTTGTTTTATCTAAATTTAATGATAATTTATGTTTAAACCAATTTTGTACTTTTACGAATTCTATTTCCATCATTTCCAACATCTGTTCTATGTTTTTACCCAAGCAAAAAAATGTACTGTTGTCTGCAAATAAAACACATTCAAACAACCCTGATACATTTACCAAGTCATTAATATATAGGAGAAACAACTTTTGTCCCAATATAGAACCCTGTGGAACCCCACATACAATTAAAGCCTTTTAAGTGGCTGGAGGTGGAGTAGCAGATCATGCATTTGACAGGTTTGGTGAAAAGAAGACGGCTAGGTCTTTACAGGTTTTAGTGGTTTCTGCACCACTAACAGGATAATAGTCACTTTGATTTGAAACTTTTGCACTTGAAATCACGGGACCTTTGAGGCTATGAGGTCAGTCTTGTGAGGAGGAAGGATTTACACCTTTAAGCGCCTGTGCCCACCCCCCTACACACAAACACGCAGAGGAATGCACCCCATGTTGACAGCATTCCTTACCTCTTCAGAGAACTGACAGCATGAGGAGCTCTCTGCCATCGAGGCTGTTCGACAGGAGTCCAGCAGCGTCCTGTGAGACTCCGAGCTCCGTAAAGTATCAGCGGCACGTGGACTGCGCACCGGACGCTGCCGATGACGGCGGGCCGAAGGAGAGGTGGCCCCGGGACATGACCTTTGCCTTTCGCCCAGAGCGGTACGAGCCTTTGACGGACGATGGGGCGAAAGAGAAGAGGAGAAAAAAGCGGAAAGAAAACTACAAGAAAGTGAGGAAGGTGGGTTTAACTTGGATTTTCTTTTTATTTTATTTATTTGTATTCTGAACATCCAGTAAACAAGTATTTCATGTATCTTTGGGTATCTCAGCTGTTTCCTTGAATATTTTGTCCTGGARAACTGCAGCAATGGGAGGATTTTGCTGCTAAGTGTTTGGTCTGAATTGTTCAAACATACAGGTGTTTAATAAGGAATTGTTCATGGAATATGTATTTTATCTATAATTTTATTTAATATTTACTACTGACCATTAAACCTTGCTGCAGATGAAGGTACAGAAGTGTTTGTAATTACACTGATTATTTCAGACTCCCATTTTTCTTCACTAGTTTTATAATTAAGCTTCAGTTTCTGTTGACAAAAGATTGTAAATCACTTTATTTGAACTTTTTTTTTTGCAATGCAAAAATAGGTCAAAGATGGGATGATTAACCTTTTTAGTTTTTCTCCCATTTTGATGTTTGTGAATGCATTTCTGATTTCAATAATGTAACTTTTGTCGTACTGTAAAGATAAAGTGTAATATACAAAATAATCTACTAAACTGCATTATCAGTGATGCTTTTTTTTAGGATTTTTGAGCAAAATATCTGACTTCCTGTGATCTCAGCTAACATCTGCTGCAGCAGGTTAGTGACCAGGTTCTAAAATACTCACTGGACTAAGCAGATGTCTGCAACTCACTTCTAATTTTGTCAAACATTCCCAACAAATACCATGAAACAGGTATGTTTTGTGTCATTTCTGCCATAAAATTCAGGTTTACTGTCAGTTCAACTTGTTTTCAGAGTTACTATATTGGGAGAGGAAGGCCTTTTAAACTTTTTAACTTCCTGTTTCTGCTGCAGCCAGTCGGAGTTTTCCTGTTCTGGATACACTGGACAATAGTGCTCACAGGACATTTTTATTGTTGTTTCAGTCAGGAGGAAAGTGCGCTTCTCTTCTTCCTGCTGCTATAGTGCTCCGAAACGTCCTGCCCCAGACTCTGACCTCTAATAGCTCACATATAAATGAGATAATAAAAGATAATGATGGCATTTTGATTGTGTGTAAACAACTTCAAGTGATTGAATTATTTCCTGTCACCCGTCAGAATGTTGGGAAGGCACTTCGCACCACCTGGAAGTGTTTGAAGCTCGGCCTTTACAACTTCGCCTTCGCCTACTCCACTCCGGTCACAGTGGCTGCTGCTTTCGCGCCGGATTTTTACCACGACAGAAACGAGACCTGAGCTTTGCTGCGTGGAGTTCCCTCAGCAAAGAGACTCTGACCAAAGACTTTTTACATTGTTAGAATGCTTGTATATACAAACAAGATTATTGTACTGAAAGCATGTTAAGTTTTTTAAAGTTTTTGTAACACTCCTGCTGACCTTGGGTCAAAAYCATGAGGTCTCAGTCAGGGCCTTGTGAATCATTTTGACCCAAGGGCAGCAGGAGCCTTAAACTAAAGTATTTTACTGTATAATGTTTTTAGAGGAGGTTAAGATGTGCTTCATAAGTTTCTCCTGTAATGTCTGAATGCCCTTTTTGAAAAAAGCACAAACAGAAAAGTGAATATTTTACTATTGCCTTAAATAGTGAACCATACAATTGCGTTTTCTTCATACTGAAAATGAATCAGGAACCTAACTGGGTTTTGCATGTGCGTAGACAGAGGGAGGATGTAGGCATGTTGTTATTCCAGCAGGATTACAGTGAAGTATGGTGTCTTGAGTTGAGTAAAAAGAAATATTTTTAATGGATTAAGAGGCAGGAAATATTAAACAAGAAAGCAATATTATAGAGAAAACAAATACTGGAAAAAGACTTGGAAAAATGACTCAAAAGAAGCCAAGTCTGAAGTCTGTTATAACTGTATGTGATGACAAATCTGCCTTTTATGTTGATGATTAAAGATTATCTGCTGTGTGGTATTCATGGGTTTTCACTCCATTATTTTACCTTTATAAGTTTAGAACAACAAAAGGAATTATGTCTGAGATGCATACATATAAAATGAAAAGAAAAAAAGTTCAACCTGCTTTAATAGCTTTTTTACAGGGAAAGCAAATGATTGGTTGTCGCCGTGACGTCATTCATCTCCCACTTCCGCGTTTCTGGCTTGTTTACGCTAAAGCTAAGCTAAACGGTCAGATCGGTGTTTTCTGAACATGTCGGAGCAGAAAACAGAAAATATCAGTTCAGTCCCCATCGACGGGTTCAGCAACTTAAGAATAACATCGATATGGACGTTTCTTATGTCCGTAAGTTGAAATTTTACTTTACTATCAGCATGCTAACAAGCTAAGTTTAACATTAGCTGTCACACGGGCTGTGTTTTCCTAGCTGTGTGTTATTCTTGTGGTCTGCAGGTGCAGTGGTCGGAGCCTTGGCTTATCGGGCTCTTGGTGTTTCATGGTGTGTGTTTGTTCCTGACTTTAATAACCTGCAGGTTCTACAGAGCTCAGATCTGCCACTTTCTGCTCATAGGTACGTGTTCAAATTCACCAGATAAAGAATCAACGTTCATACAAACTACAGATTTATCAATCAGGGGCAAAATAAACCTGTCAGTGTCGCTTAGTGGGTCGTTTGGTAAAGATCTTTCTGGACATAAACTAGGCTAGACGTTATTATCATCATTTGATCAAGACAAAAGCAGCGGTGGGCAGCACTAATCTAAAATTTTGTTCCACTAGCCCTAAAACACTAACTCAAATATTTAGGGCCCCTAATTTTAAAGCACTAATGCACTGAARGTTTTATCAAAAGCTAATTCTAAAGCATTAAAATAACCCAGTCAACCCATGAACATTCTTCACCAAACATGAGTCACATGTTGTCATGTTGCTCTCTTAAGACTTATTAACATCCCACAGCTGTATTTGWGTTYATATATTGTCACCTGGTGGATAAATGACACATGAACAAAATGTGTGACAGCTTTCACYSTYAGCTGTTAACGTTAACGTTGATCCATAACATTTATAGACCTCAGTTAGTGCTAGAGCTGGGCGATATGATCAAAATTTTATATCACGGTATTTTCAACATTTTCACCGGTTTCACGGTCTTTGACGGTATTTTTCTTTACATCACAGCTCAGCTGATAATAAAATGTACAAACCCTGTTTATTGACTTTTTTTTCTTTTACTGTACCTCTGTCTGTGTCACTGTTTCCCTCCTCTGTGTCTGTTCTTCTCTGACTGGTGGTTGGAGACAGTAGTCAYGCATTTTGGTCCAGTCGTGAAGGAGGAGGGTTAAGAAAAGATTATGATCGGGTTTATTGTTTTATGTTATTTATTAAAGCTTATCAGCATGACTCACCTTGCACACTAGTCAATTCCAGCTCCACTACGAACTACTTCCTGCAGGCTTTTCACAATAGAACCGCGTTAAGTCTCCATCAGCATAACGTCTCCATATTAACTAACCGCGTTAAATCTAACTGTGCACGTCACTGAAGAGGTGTTTACTACATTCAGCGACGGCAAAAACAGGATGTTTGTTTTAAACGTCAGTCAATATAAGCAGCGGAATCGCCACCCGCGGCTGCAACTAGCTGCTCCAAATATTAGCATGCTAATGCACATAGCGGTGCAGCAAGGAAAAATGTCCCCCGGGAAACAACAGTYCACTGGCGGCYRCGACGAAACGTTCCGCTWTTTAAACCGGAATGTCYGGTATTCAAAAAATTYATATCRTAACAAAAATAAAAACCRGTATTCGGTACAAAACGGTATACCGCCCAGCACTAGTTAGTGCTTCTAAATSTAGCCTATAAATTTAGCAAGTGCTAATCCMCTAATACATTTTAAAATTAGCAAAAGCCCTAAAGCACTAATCAKGAAATTAGTTCCCCTTTTAGTGCTTTAGGGGAACTGTGCCCACCACTGGACAAAATAAAATGTCAACAAATGCCTGTGATATTGAATTTCTAATTTTTGTAACAAATGTGAATTATATAATGTTACTGCTCAGTTTCCATTTCTTGTATTCTTATAAAAGGTATTCTATTTTATTATTTTATTTTTTTATTTTATTTTGTTTTATATAAAGGAAAAACAAACCAGTCATTCTTAGTTAAAAGTCAGTTATCAAGAGTCTCAGTCTTACTTTAAGTGAAGTGTAGGAGTAATTTTTAAGTGTCAGTCTTAGAGCTGATTTGTGACACCTGGCTGTGCTGCAAAGCTGATCCTGGATGACGTTGTAAAAAAAAAAAAACCGGGCATGGACCAATCACTGCCTCGGATTTCATCTTCAAGAATATTGTAGGAGAAAAGGCAAGATAAAACAGTGAAAATTCTAAAATATGTTCACTTTCAGCACACTGTTGTCACCTTGTACTGATTGTCTGTAAATTACATAAAATGTCCTCATTTGCATCATGAATACAAAGTTTTTTTATATCAAAAACTCAGCAGCTTCAAAGTTGTTTTATGTCTCAGAGCCTGAGGTAATGTTGAGCTGCTGTTAATATAATAAACGAAACGTTCAATCC